TATCTGTTTTCAGTTCCTTACTAGCCTTACGTAAGTTGCCCCCCACGATGTTGAGTAGAATGGGCTCCTAGGGAGATTCACCACATTTGTCCCATGGCTTTTTTTTTTTTTTTTAAAGATTTTATTTATTTTTTGCCCCCAAAGCCCCAGTAGATAGTTGTATGTCACAGCTGCACATCCTTCTAGTTGCTGTATGTGGGACTCGGCCTCAGGCTGGACAGAGAAGTGGTGCCTCAATGCGCACCAGGGATCCGAAGCCGGGCCGCCAGCATTGCAGCGCGCGCACTTAACCACCAAGCCACAGGGCCGGCCCTGTCCCATGGCTTTGTATCCCCCCTGCGAGGTGCCACGTCCTGGGCCACAGACCCTGGTTAGAGAAGCATGTGACACTGTTGTGAATGAACACAGATGCCTGTAGCTAGTGATGGGCTGCACCCCCAGAGCTCACTGTAGGTGGGGGTGGGGGCAAGTGGACTTCTGACCTTTGGGCCAGAGCCTGGGCCATTTGCTTGATGCTTCCACCCTCCCCACTAGGACATTCACCACGGCAATGGCACCCAGCAAGCGTTCTACAATGATCCCTCTGTGCTCTACATCTCCCTGCATCGCTATGACAATGGGAACTTCTTTCCAGGCTCTGGGGCTCCTGAAGAGGTACAGCTCCTGGGCTCAAATCCGGGGCTCCTTGGGGAGGTAGCAGAATGGGACCTGGCAGGGAGCCATAGAGGCCTGTGGTGGTGCCGGTACATGGGAAGTCTGGGCTCCTAGTGGGAGGACCACGCTAGGCAAATGCCCCTCCATGCAAAGCTGAGGTCAGTGGAGTGAGGGCTGGAGGCAGGACTGAGGGCGAGGGCAATGTCTGGGATCCCCAAGCAGTGAGAATAACCCCTTGCCCACCATGCTGCCAGGTTGGCGGAGGGCCGGGCGTGGGGTACAATGTGAACGTGGCATGGACGGGAGGTGTGGATCCCCCCATCGGAGACGTGGAGTACCTAACGGCCTTCAGGTGGGGACTGAGAAGCGCCAAGGGAGGGGTGGGAGACCCTGGGGCCCTGCCGTGGGAAGGGCAGAAGGCACTCAGTTTGGTGTGGGTGGAGGGGGTTGTCTCTGGGGGGGACAGAGTGGGGCGAGGCCTGGCCCAGCCACCTACTAGGGTCAGCTTGGGCCCTCCCTTTGCAGGACAGTGGTGATGCCCATTGCCCACGAATTCTCACCTGACGTGGTCCTAGTCTCTGCCGGGTTTGATGCTGTTGAGGGACACCTGTCTCCGCTGGGTGGCTACTCTGTCACCGCCAGATGTGAGCCTGCTGGGGGATTGAGGGAGGCTGTGAAACAGTGAGGATGGGGTTGAGTGGGGGCATGGAACAGGAATAGACTGATGTTACAGATGTTGGGAGGAGGTGAGCTGGGGGCAGGTCCAAGACTTAGAATCACCCTGGCAGCACCCTCCACTCTCCCTCTGCCAACCCTGGCCTTGATGGGCAGGCAGGTGAGAGTGGGGTATCAGGGGGTGTATCTCCTCCCAGAGTCATACGGATAGAGCTTGTTGATCCCTCATGTTTCAGTGGTGCTCCTTGTGAGACATATAATTAGATTTTTAAAGCCAGTCTGTTATGTTTTGTCTTTAATGGAGCATGTTGTTCATTGACATTGAATTTTTTTTTTTTTTTAAGATTTTATTTATTTATTTATTTTCCCCCCAAAGCCCCAGTAGATAGTTGTATGTCATAGCTGCACATCCTTCTAGTTGCTGTATGTGGGACCCGGCCTCAGCGTGGCTGGAGAAGCAGTGCGTCGGTGCGCGCCCGGGATCCGAACCCCGGCCGCCAGCAGCGGAGCACGCGCACTTAACCGCTAAGCCACGGGGCCGGCCCTGACATTGAATTTTATTATGGACATATATTTGGGTTTAAATCCCAAATGGGTTTGTGCTCTTTATCTCCCCTTGTGTTTCTTTTTCTCTCCTTTGTTACCTTCTCTTGAATTGATCTTTTTTTTACCATTTCATTTCCCTTCACCCATCCCTAAAGGTTTTGGCCACTTGACCAGGCAGCTGATGACACTGGCAGGGGGCCGGGTGGTGCTGGCCTTGGAGGGAGGCCACGACTTGACCGCCATCTGTGATGCCTCTGAGGCCTGCGTCTCGGCTCTGCTCAGTGTGGAGGTGAGGGGTGCAGGAAGGGGCTGGGGGAGGTGGGCCAGTAGGCCAGGGGCTGAGGGACCAAGAGGGAGGGCCCCTTCCCTGGGTCAGACAGCACCGAGGGCCCTTGGGAAGGTTTTCCTGGGTCCTAAGGACAGCTGGTGGCCAGGGAGGGCTTTCTGAGTAGGGGTTCCACCTGTCATGAAAGATGTCTGGGGCTGAGTGGGATGGTTAGAGGGGCACGCCCTCCCACCCACTCACTACCCTAAGCCTTCTCTTCTTTCCTCTGCCAGCTGCAGCCCTTGGACGAGGCAATCTTGCAGCAAAAGCCCAACATCAACGCAGTGGCCACACTAGAGAAGGTCATCGAGATCCAGAGTGCGTTGGGGACAGGTGGAGGGGCTCAGACCTCAGCTTGCCAAGGGGGTGGGGTGGAGCTTGTGGGCACACCAGGTCTGGGCAAGTACATATGGGGGTTTCTGCCCTCTCTGACCCCCTGTCCGCCCCTCGTCCACAGGCAAACACTGGAGCTGTGTGCAGAGGTTCGCCGCTGGTCTGGGCCGTTCCCTGCGGGAGGCCCAGGCAGGTGAGACGGAGGAGGCCGAGACTGTGAGCGCCATGGCCTTGCTGTCGGTGGGGGCCGAGCAGGCCCAGGCTGCTGCAGCCCGGGAGCACAGCCCCAGGTAAGGTTCCCCCCACCTCTCTGCCCTCACCCAAGCTGGTGCTCCCCACTCAGTGCCCCTCCCTGTGCTTGTCCCCATAGGCCGGCAGAGGAGCCCATGGAGCAGGAGCCTGCCCTGTGACGCCCTCGCCCCCATCCCTCTGGGCTTCATCATTTGTGATTTTGTTTATTTTTTCTATTAAAAACAAAAAGTCACACATTCAACAACGTGTGCCGTGTGGGTCTCTCTGCCTCGCCCCTCCTGCTCCTCTAAGTTGCCTCAGGCCCCCTCACCCCACTGTGGCCCACATCTCAGCTCTAGAAGTTTGCTCCCTCTGTAGGGTGTGGGGGTGCCCTTTCCAGCCCCTCCCCCATGTTGTATCCCACACCCACTTGCCTGCATTCTGTCCTTTTCTCCCTTGGAGCCTGGGCCAGGTCAAGGTGGGCATGGGGGCCTAGACGGTACCTTCCGGTTCTGGGTATCCCTGAGTGAGGAGGGAACAGTAAGTCCGGTGCCTTGGCTTCAGCTGACTTGGGGGGAAATGCCTTAATTTTACCCTCCTCCCCTCTCCAACCTCAAGGAAGGATCTGGAGGGTCCCTCTACAGTCTAAGATGTAGATGTAGAGTGGAGGGGAGGTGGGCTCCCACCCTGCAATTCCCCACCCTTTTTCCTGTCTGTTGCCCTCACCATCTCTGCACAGATCCCTTTCTCCTCCTCCTTTCTCCTGGCCTCAGCACCGAGGGCAAGGCTGGGCCCTAGAATGTGGGCCTGAGGTCTGTGTGCAGTGCTGTCTTGCCTCACACTCCTCAGGGCCTACTTCCCCTTACCAGGGGCTGGAGAGGGTGAAAGTGTGTGGGGAGGGATGGGGCTGGACTCCTGGGTTCTGAGGGGCCAGAAGGAGCCGCAGAAACAGGCCTGCTCTCCACCTTACTCTACTGGCCTCCCTGCCCCTCTGCTGGCACAGCCTGGGGAGGGGGAGAAGGTGGTCCCTGCAGGGGGGCTCCAGGCAGGTGAGAGCCCCCCTGCTGTTCAGGACCAGATTTCCCCAGCCATCCAGCATGCTGCAAGTAGAAGGGTCAGTGACCCATCTCCCTCCTGAGGCCTTTTGCTTTGACGCCTGGGGATGGTGAGAGTGGGGTTCTAGAAGGGCTAGGGCCAGAACCCAGGAACCCAGGAGTCTGCCCTCAGCTGTAGCTTCCCTTTCTCCTGGGCTTCCTTTGCTGGCCACCAGCCCAAGGAGCTAAGACCAGGAGGGGGCTGGCGCTGTCCTTTCTCTTTCCCAGGAGCCCAGCCTAGCCCTCTGTTTCCCGGGCTGGGGGCCCACAAGGCTTCTAGGAAATGCTGTCCAGCCTATAGGAAACCAAAGATGGGAAGCAACTCCTAGGGGGCCGAGACTTCCTTCTCCTTCCCAACACCGTATACTTTCTATCCTCCCATTCCCAGGGCCCCACCAATCTGTTTACATATTTATTATCCTAATGGGGGCCTGAGCAAGGTTGAGGGAGCCAGGGGAGGGGCAGGAGTCCCACCACCATTGGTTCATTGTGCGCTTGTGTCTTGTGTGTTGTTAGTGTATTCTAGATCCTCCTGGGGGATGGGGATGTGGCTGGGCCCAGTGTACCAGGCCTCCCCATGCTGAGCCCCAGCTCCAGGCCCCTTACCCTCCCTCTCCCCATGGCCGGTCTGGTTCTCATGTAAACCCACTTCTTGCTTTGTCTCCCTGGATATGGATTTCAGTTAAGTATTTTGTAACCCGTTACACTGTGTGTCCTTGTATAAATAAACTTGTTTCTGGCAGTGCCTTCTGGAGCCAATGTCTCCGTTCTTTGGGCTCCCAAATGGAGCAGAGGTTCTCATTCCCCCTCCTGGCCCAAAACTGCTCTTTTCTCCAGTCCCTGGACTAGCCAATTTAGGAAACAGGAGACTGGGGTGGGATCTCTGTCCTGTAGGTGAAAGAGAGGTTTCACTGAATGTAGCCACAGCATCTCAAGGGGCCTCTTGTGTGGCCTACGTGGTGATCGTGGGGAGGAGGCCCAGGGCTGAAGGGCTCAACTGAGTTTACAGCCCTCCCCTTTCTTTTTGATTCTCTGCCTCTGGAAACAGGGTTGGGGGGTGCAGAACAGGCAGCCTGGCCAGGGTTTCACTTGCACACATGCAGGCAGATTCAGTGGAGATGTGCGCACAGGCAAGAGAGGAATCCAGAAGTGTTCAAGGGCTTTATTGGCGCTGCTCTGAGCCCCTCAGTGTTGTAGGAACCCACTGGTCTTGCTGTTGCCTTTGCTCTTTGGGGACTTGGGAGGGAAGGCAGGAGGAGGACCAGCCTTTCTGCAAGACAGACAGCCCTTCTTTGGGGCTAAGACCAGGTGGTGGGAGAAGCGGGAAATTCAAGATGAACAGGGACTGTTGGGGGCTGAAAGAAGATGGATTGCCTCCTGGATTGTGGAGGTCACGGAGTGTTGGCTTTGTGGGAGGGAAAGTGGCAGTAGGAGGCACTCGAAGTCAGGAAGAGCGGATGGGTGGTGCTTCCTGGGCACTGAATGTGTGCACCACCCAGGGCACGAGGGCCAGGACCAGGCATGGCCAGAGGGTGTACTTGAGGAAATTGACAATGTAGAAAAGGCTGATCTGAGGGGGGTAGCCCAGCCAGTCCAGGGGGCCCAGCAGCCCCATGGCTAGCACAAGGCAAGCTATCTTCTGGCCATTTCCCAGGTATGCCCGCCGTACCTGGGCATAGCAGGGAGAGTGCAGGGCGATGCCCAGACCCAGGGCGGCCCCTGAGTCACGGCTCAGGGAGGCAAAGGGCCGGCTGTCCATGTGCACCCACTCAGGCCGCTCACACCACTTGGAGGCTAGGCTGATGGACCTGTGGGGAGGAAGAGTCTTTGCCAGGGGAGACATTCCCCTGGAACCTAGAAAGCCAAGGGCTCTCAGCCCCTACCTCCATGTTCTGCTGTGACCCCAGCAGAGTATGTTTGTGAACAGGTACTATGTCCTTTTTTAGCTACAATGAACCAGAGACCCACCACGCTAGGTACAGGTGAGGCAGGACACGCCCCAGCCTGCCCAAGCTTCAAAGCAGGACTTACCAGGAAAGATCCAGGCCCAGTGTAAAGAGGGTCCAATAGATCAGGCTGGCGCCCAGCAAGAGGGCCAGTGAGGTCAACCCGTAGAAGCTTAGCTCTCGCTCCATGGGTACCCGGGGGGCCATAAGCCAGCCCAGGACAGCACCTAGGGGAGTTGAGTGACAGGAGCTTCAAGGAGTTTGGGAATATGACACCCCTGAGCTACAGTGCAGCTTGGCAGGAGAACAGACTGAGACATAAGGGGGGCCTTGGGGTTGGCTGTACAATGGGAAGATCCTAGACTGGTCCTCCCACTGCCAACGGCACCCTTGGGGCCCACCCTGTTGTCCCAGTTGCTCACCAGTTATTAGGCCAGCCAACACCTGGTGAGGGAAATGTGCTAAGAGGAAGACCCGGGACAGGCCGACTGCCAGTAGGAAGGTGCAATAAGCCAGGCTAGGTATCACTCTCACCCAGCGGCTAAAAAGAAGAGAGGCAAATGATTCAGGGGGTGTCCATACACAGCTTGGCTTCCTTCAGTACCCAAACACTTCATGGTTTGACCAAATGCCCCAGGGTCCCCAAAACTTCAGCTCCCAAGCTGCCCTGCTGCTGGGTCTTTTGGGTCCAGGGTACCATGGCCCCTGTTCCCATTGGTGGGCATGCCCAAGTGTACCTGTGGGCCCGAGTGGCCACCTGGGAAGAGATGGCCGTCATTATGGGCCAGAGGGCTGCTCCTGTGATCATGCAATGTCCAGAGGGGCTGCCTGTGGGGGATCCAGAAGCTTGTGGTAAGAGGAAGGGGGCGAAACCCAGGTGCCCCTGGTGATAACTCAACCCCGCTGCCTCCCCCTGGCCAAGAAGAGAGCCTTCCCCCAGCACTGGTCCATAGCTCCCTCTGCCCTGAAGCCTTCTTCACCCCGACCTGAGGCCACTGCTCTCAGGCTTTGGGCTTTGACCTGTGACTCTTGGCTCTACTTTAAACAGGGTTGGCAGCTGGTATACTGGCAAGGGTGTTCTCCTCCCAGAATTCAACTTGGTTTTCCTGGGGTTTCTTTGTTCTCTGGGTCAGTCACTGAGACGCTGGGCCTCTGCTTGGGCCACCCTGGCTAAAAAGTATTCTGAAATGCTCATCCGAACCCTAAGCATGCTGGGAAAGTGAGGTTTGGGGCTTCTCACCTGGACCAGTTTCACAAGAAGAGGGGAACTGGTGAACCTGGGCTGGAGCCTGGCTATAGTACCCAGACTCGTGGACCCACCAAAAGGGCCTGTCTCCAAACAGAAGCCTAGAAGAGAACAGATGCATGATAACATTACACACACACTCAGGCAGGGGAACAGGAGAGGGCAGAAGGACACCTGGGTGTACTCTGGAGGGCCTGCAGGGTGGAGTCAGAAAGGGAGTCCAATTCTGTGCCATTACCTTGCCATGGCTTTTTACCTTGGAATAGAAGAAAGCACACTATTTTTTAAAAAGTGATCAAGAGGCAAGAGGTTGTAGGGGGTGTGTGTGTATCCTCTAGGATGTTCAGAAGTCCCATTCTTACCCCTCCCACTGCAGGGCCAGCTCTGCTCTTCTCATCCATAGAGAGCCCAGGACCTGGCTGTCTCCTCCTCTCCCTCCCAGACCCTCATGACACTCTTGATTCCCCCCTCTCCATTTCCCAAATTCCAACCTGAATTACCTACATCTGAATTACTTAGGTAAGCCTCTCATGTCTGAAAATGAGAGTGGGGAATGGAGAGAGGAGGCTGAGAAAGGCTAAGGAGGATAAAAAATTCAAAATCCCCTGGCCTAGCAGGTGCTAGGAAACCACACACTGAAGAACCTGCTGTGGCCACAAAAAGACGGGAGAGCAGAAGAGATGCTGGCAGGAAGCCAACTGCTGGGGCAGGAAGTACAGAAGAGCCTTGCCTCTCTCTACCAAAAGCTGAGCCTTGTTCACACACCAGGTGTTCAATACATACTTAGAAAACAAATGGGGGCTTTGACATGTGGAGGACATTAGGAGTGTCTACCCAGGAAGGTGGCCGACTCTTAGGGGAACAGGACTAGAGAGGGAGGCTTATACAGACTCTGAGAGAGGAGAGAGCACAAAGCAAATGACAATTAGGCAAGAAGGAAATGATGAGACAACTGCTTTTCCCTTTACGGTAGGGATGAAGCCCTTGCAGAGAAGAGCGGAAGGGAAGGTAACTCCAATTTCGTTTTTTCAGCAAGTCATTCCAGCCCATTCAAGTGCCTTCTATGAACCTCCCTTCCCTTCCCCAGGCTGGGGATCTGGTAACAGAGGCTGAGGTGAGGGGAGGTGCAGCTCCTTTCTGCACCCAAGAGAGAATAGGGGACACAAAAAGATAAGCCCCAAGGCCTCCCCTCACTTGCCTGGGATTACTGCTTTCTAAGTCTGTGTGAAGAGCCTCTTAGTGAATGAAGGGGAAAAGGAAGAAGAGAAAGTATTCCCTGGAAGGCAATGCTTTAGCCCAGTGCTTTTCAAACTTCACTGTGCACACGAATCACGTGGGGTCCTTGTCAAAATGCAGATTCTGATGCAGTAGCTCTGGCCTGGGATTCTGTATTTCTAGCAAGTTTTCAAGTGCTCCCTGTGCTGCTGGTCACGACGCCTTAATTTGCAAGCCTTTTCTGTCCTTAGCAGCTGGTGTGAAGCCTGGCACAAAGCATGCTTCTTAAAAACTATGTCAAATAAATGAATGAATAGATGAATGAAAGAGTGAGTTGAGAAGCAGGACTTTCTGCTACTTATGCACCATAGATGCTTGTTGAAATAGATTCCCAGCTCCTCCTCTGGAGTTTCTAAATCTGTATGCCTGAGGTGGGATGGGGTATTTGCATTTTAAACACGCCCCTTAGGTGATTTCTCTGATCATGCCCATTTGAGAAATACTGGTCTAATGAGTAGGTTGAGGACTCTGAAGTCTGAGTCCAAGATGCACAAAGATGCTAAAAGGGGAAAAGTCAGGGCCTACGGGGTAGGGGTGGGGAGGTCTCAAGGCCACGGGTTCACTGGGGTTGGGAGTGGGGAACCCAGGCCTTTGAGGCACCTGCTGAGAGAGATCAGGACTTGCACAGGACTCAGGGCCCTTGAGGGTGGGGGACCAGACCGCCGGAAGGCTTCGCTGTCTCACCATTTGAAGACGAGGTTGAGCCACTCAGTGATGATGCTGATCCAGAGCACCGCGATGCCCACGCGGCGAGAGGCGTAGTAGGCCGCGGGGAAGTAGAACAGAAAGAGGCTTTTGGGATCGCCCAGAAAGGTGACCCAAAGCCACACGTTCTCCAACCAGGGCAGCTGGTTCTGCAGCGCCTCGGCCATCGCGATGCCCGCGCCCAGCGCGGACTCCATGGCGACCCAGAAGCCGGCCGGGCCGGGCTTTGCTCTAGGGCGGAAGCTGAGGAGTCCTGGCGACAAGGAAGCGGCTACCCACTGCCCTGGAAAGCCCACCTTTCCGATCCCCAGGCCCTGCCCACTTCCAGCAGCTGGTGTAAGCTCTGCCCCCTGCCCCGCCCCCGGCAGGCCCAGGCTCGCGCGGCCGGCCCTCTGGCCGGTACCGTTTCCTCCTGCGGTCTCCCCGAGCCTTCCTCTCTACTGGGCAGCGCGAGGGACAAATCTTTGCGAAAGCGTTTCCGCAGAGCCCCACGTGGCCGCTGTTGCCGGCACGTGGGCATCCGGCGTAGAGGCGACTCCCGCTGCTGTTCCGGGTCAAGGGACGGACTAACCTGGGCGGCGCGCCCAGGGTCCCTGAGTTGCTGCTGCGAAGAGGAACGTGTAATCTCCACAGCCAGGATTCCTTCCAGACCAGACTTTCTTCGTCAGTACTGCTACCCTCCCAAGATATTCTGAGATCTCTTGGAGAGAGGGCTACGGACACCCCCTCCTCCGGGGAGCCAGGCATCCCCGATCGGTGCTGAAGCGGGACTCTAAATTTGCTCACACCGCTAATCAGTCCATGCGTTCCTCCCGCAGCCCAAGTCTCTCTCGCCCGAATTCATCCGCGATTGATTTGGAGGCTGACAGATAAGCCTCTTGATTTTGAGGAGTCTTCCCTAAAGACTCGCGAATTCTTAACACAGTACTGTCTAAGTCACACTTCTTCCCAGTTCTAAGCTTGCCTCCCCACCTCCCTTCCGTCCTCTTGCCTTCCAAAACCCCGTTGGGCAGATAAACCATGAGACAGTAACTGGGTTGATATGGGAAGAGGAGGGGCACACATCCACGACAAAATTTGGAATAATCCTCTGGAGGAACACAAGCAGAAAATAGAAATGTCAGGTATTCTAGGCGAGGTCCTGCCTAGAGGCAGAGGTGGGGTGGGAGGAGACTGTTGAAGTGGCTTCTCAGTTCCTTCCTACCTCAAGAAACTGTTCTTGGAGAGTTTTCTGATGGGTGGATGAAAATGAGAATGTAAATCTGTGTTCTTCTTGGAAAGAGATTAATTTTACTAATTAAAAAGGCGTGGGGAAGGGAAGCTGGATATGAATCTCATTTCACTCCCTTGCTAAATGTTTTTCAATTGCCCTAAGGAGAAAGGCTACATTTTCTAAGTTTTTGAAAGTTTCCTCTAGCCAGACAAACTTTACAAGCCTACCCCACACTGTTTCATACTATTTCTGAGTTACTTTATGTTCTTTAAAGTCACCAAGCTCTCTCCTCTTAGGGGTTCTGTCACATGAAATTCCCTCTGGCTGGAAGATGGATGGCCACCCTCTTTCCCTGTTGGTCCTTCAGGTCCCAGGTTTTTCAATTCCTCTAGGAAGCCTTTCCTAACAGTGCCTGGCAGTTGTATATGAAAACTTATAATCACAATGCCATATAAAAAATGGAGTGGCTGTTACATATAACTTATGGGGGCCAGACAGGAAAGTTCTCTGAAAAGACACACGTATAAGGGAGCAAGTTATTTTTTTGTTTGAGGAAGAGTAGCCCTGCGCTAACATTTGTTGCCAATCCTCCTCTTTTTGCTGAGGAAGATTGTCCCTGGGCTAACATCCATGCCTATCTTCCTCTACTTTATATGGGACACCGCCACAGCATGGCTTGATAAGCGGTGCGTCGGTCTGCACCCGGGATCTGAACCTGTGAACCTCAGGCCACTGAAGCAGAGCGCACAAACTTAACCGATAGGCCACCGGGCCCGCCCCAAGAGAGCAGTATGTTTATTCCTATGATTGTACTAATATTCTCCCAACATTAGGAAGTTGATGTCTCTTGTAAGGCAAGGAAACACTTTTGAACTTTGTTCAGGTTAAGTAGTGCCCTTTGCCTCCCTCTGGACTAAAGAAAGGTCAACCTATTGTTACTCATACGTGAGGCTCTAGAATTTCTATACTGGGGGGGTAGGTGGGTTAGGGGTGGCAATTGGTGATGGTAGAGCTTGAAAATGTATCTGCATAGTACACGTTAAGAAACTGTTTTGTATATCAGATGGACATTAATGGAGGGGACTCCCAAAATCCTGCCCCAAGGCCCTCTTTGTCACTACCACTGCTCCTCGCTTCTGCCTTTTGCCTGGCTTTCTAGAGGAGAGGGCAAGAGAGGAGATGGGGAAGCATCTTGAGTTCCAAGGATGATGGGTGATCATGGAGGAACTACTATTTATTAAAGACCTACTACATGCCATGCATTTGTACATATTATCTCACTTAACCTCCTAACTACTCTATGAGGTATTATCTAATATAGTATAGCAGTAAATAGCACTGTCTTTGGAAAAAGGTAGATTGAATCCTTGCTAGCTGTGCGACCCTGGACAAGTTTAGTCTCTCTAAGACTTAGTTTCTTAACCTGTAAAATGAAGATATTGATTCTTACCTCAAAGCGTTGTTGGATGCTCAATAAATGATATACAAAAGGTTCAGGTTTAGTAATTTGCTCCAGGTCATAGTAAGTGGCAGACCTGGGATTCCGAATCCGGTTTAGCTAATTCTATAGCCAATGTTCTTTCCACTACCACTTTGTAACTAGGTATAATCATTTTGAGCAAGTTTCGTTAAGTCCTCTGGGCCTCGGATTCCTCGTATGTAAAATATAGAGTTCATTCATTAAACTCTTGCGTCAAGGTGTGCACATAATGGAGACTGCAGCTCCTTCCTCCTTTCCCTTTTCATTCCACGTAGGTCATTTATCCTTAACTTCTAAAATGGACCCTGCAAGCACTTTACCAAGCGGGCGCAGCTGCACAAACATAATTATCCAGATTCTCCTTTATTTCCTCTTCTACCTAGGCTCCCGCCCCACCCAGCACCAGGCCACGCCCTGGCGTGTGACGACAGCACGCCCCGTGCGTCGCGGCGCGGCGCTCACTGGGGGCCCGGCTTTCGCCCGCTGCTGCCGCCGCCGCCGGCCGCGGCTGCTCTCCCAAGATGGCGGCTCCTCCGGGCGAGTACTTCAGCGTTGGGAGCCAGGTGTCGTGCCGGACGTGCCAGGAGCAGCGGCTGCAGGGCGAGGTGGTAGCCTTCGACTACCAGTCCAAAATGCTGGCTTTAAGTATCCTTCCTTGCGCGGAGCCCGAGGCCGGGCCAGCGTGTATGTGTGGTGGTGGCGGGGTGGGGGACGACGGCGGCGGCTGGGGCCCTCTCCGGGCCTAGGGGCGACTGGCTACCGCGGCACCCCGAGCGCATGCGCACGGATGTGAGCTCCCCTCCCCCTCGCACGGGTCCGTCGGTCTGCTTTGGGGACCCTGTCTCCCACCCCTTGTGGGAGCTGGGCCCCGAGCGAGGGTCGATGGGTGGAGGGGTGCTTGACACGCGGATGGCTTTTCGGGGGGAACGATATGAGAGGGAACACAGTGATGAGAAGAGGGGGTGGTCGTCGGAGGGGGCTGGTGGACTGGAGCCTGGATGGAAGGGGGGCGGATAAAATCATGTGGGGAGGGGGTGTGTAGAGTAAGGAACTGCTAGTAGGGCAAGGGTGTGGAGTTTAGGAGGGGATTTGGTCCAAGGGAGGGCGGCGGGGTGGTGAGCAAATGGGCCTTGCCTGTTTTGGGGGAGTGTAACTGCAGGACAGAGTTTGTATCTGAACTGGGGATAGGGGCTTGTTTTGCTGGTGCGTGTGTATGCGTGGTGCCGTTGGGGGCGGGGAGTGCTGAATTTTAGGTTTCTCAGTCGTTTGAAAATTGCTGTTTTCGGGATGTTTGCATTGGAAACCTGGTCCAGGGAAAGGACCATGTTTTTCAGAGGCGTGTGAAGGGATGTGTGGGTTACAGGTGAAAGAGTAAGTTATCTTCTCTTGCTCAGCTCAGCACATGGAATTCTGACTTTTCCATGGTAGTAGCCTACCCTTTTGAAATTGGCAGTGTTAAGCAGAATGGAAAAGGTGGCCTGCTTCTTTGGGGTGGAAGTGATTTCTGAATTACTCCAGGAAACTCAATCTTGGAAACAAAATACTTCCTGGTTGTAATAAATGTGCCACCCCTTCCCCTTTTATTTGAGCCACAGGTGGGTTTATTTGGATTTTTTTTTTTTTTTTTGAGGCGTAATCCTTTATGGCTTCTTTCAAAAGGAAGTTTCCTACTGAGTCTGCTGCATTTGAGTGGCAAGTATTTTAATTCATTTAACCATTAGTAGATTTCTAGCTTATTAGGAGGATGTTCTCTGAAGCTAATTACAGCAAGAACATTTACTTTTTTTTTTGCTTTTTTTTTAATGCAGGAATTCATACCTGGACCAAATAAGACCCTTTACATTAGTAGTTTAGTTGGAAGGGTTTTGGAATGAGGAATTAACTCTATTTTTCATTGGCATACAGTATGCTCTTGATAAATGGTTGGAGAATGAGTGAGTGAATGAATGAATAAATGGGTTCACTAGCTGGGTCACCTTGAGTGAGTTTCCTTTCCAGTACTGTAGTTTTCCCCTCTGCAAAATGGGAAATCTCAAATCTAAAAAAGTGAAAAGAGCACTCTATAGATGTAGGGAGTATTATGGCAAGAACAGAAAGTGCCTGTCATTTGTGGTTCATTAGGTTCAAGACAAGCAGTATACACCTGGTATTGAAACTGCATTATTCCTCTCCATAACACTGGTAGAGAGAAAGTGACAGAAACCCTTTTGAGGCTTCCAATTTTGGATTGTATTTGGCTTTGAAAAGGTTGAGATCTTTTGGTTATGAGGTTGAGCGGGAGGAAGGTGATAGGCAGAGATTTCCTGAGGAGAGCTGTGATTCTCGTGAGGCTCCCCCCTCTTGCTCGTGGCACACCTTTTACACAAGCCTTGTGTGAATTGTGTTTTCCATGCCCCTTTTGGGATGTGTTGGTACTCTGCTTGCCCCTATTTCCTTAACTTTATTTTCTCACCAGAATGTCCCTCTTCCAGTGGAAAGCCCAACCATGCAGACATCTTGCTCATAAACTTACAGTATGTTTCAGAAGTGGAAATAATTAATGACCGAACAGAAACCCCTCCTCCCCTAGCTTCACTCAATGTTAGTAAGGTAAGGACTTGAGGGCAGTTCTGGCTCTCCAAAATGGTGGGAAAATTGAGTCTCATTGACTCTTGGTGATACAGACATTGTCCATTGTTTGGTTTTCATTTTTTCATTGACTTATAATTGCTTGTTCTGATATCTTTTTAAGAAATATATCAGTTTAGTTTTTCTCTTTATTCCTGG